TTAACAGTAGCCCCTAGCCTGGGGAGTGTAGGGAAGAGGCAGTGTTATTCATGTCTGGGATATGGGGTTAACCTGACAGAAATTGCAAACATAGCCAGGCCTGACCAATGGGACCTGGGACCAGAAGTTTTTTAGACTGAATGTGCATAGTCTGGTCCAATGCAGTCTCCACCTTTCCCTAATGTCTTTCACCTGGCCCCTCTTCTCATTTGCACCACCTGTTCAGCATCAGGGCATTTCAGTTTATGCCCAAAGGTGCTTCTCAGCCCTCCCTCAGCTGACTGGAAGAGACCTGCTGCCACCTGGTGGTCACAAATCACATGTTCCATCAATGCACACCGGTGGTGCTCCTGATGCCATTCACCACCATCCACACTGATCCTCTCATTTAATCCTCTCACCCACCCTATGAGAATAGACATTGTTGTACCCATTTTACAGCTGGGAAATCAGAAAAAGATAAGCTCAGAAATTACCAATTAGAAAACAAATGAGCAAGGTTAAGTGAATAGATTGTTCAGGATCCCAGCTCCCATGATGCTGCCAGGAGTGGAATCCAGCTCTTTCCTTACCCACAGTCCAGGGTATTTTAGGCTCTGCCCTGTCATGACAGACCCAACATGACTCTTCCATGCTGGAAGTTTGGTCCTCACTGAGGGAGCCAGGGATCCCCTGAGATAAGCCAGAACTCTGCAATAAGTACTTTTGGGGATGAGTGGGGTAGATAGGGCAGGCTGGGGCCCTGCCCAAACTTCTTCACATACGGAAACCATGATAAATGCATTTGCTACTTGCCTATGGTCGAGCAGGCCTCAGCCTCAGGTTATCTAAGACCAAGTGCTGGGCACTTTTCATGCCCATGCTGCCTCCCCAGGCCTGAGAAGGCCTCTCTGTCTTTTTTGCTTTCTCCAAACCTTAACCCACAAGGCTGAGCACCTGCTCACCCCTCTCCTCCAGGAAGACTTCCCTGATCACCTCAGCCCTCCCAAGTCTCTGCCTTGTCTGAGCACCTATAAGCCTGGTCCATAGCACCCCTCCGAGGCTGAGGTCATCCTTCCCTCTAGAGCCTGATGCTTGTATGTCGAGTCTCTCTAGGCAGCCAGGAGATTCCCTGAAGGCAGGGTTTTGGTGTTCCCATCCCTTCTGTGATGTTTATCTAAGCAATACATATTGAACATCTATTTCTTGAGGCACGTGACAGAGCCTTAAGGAGATTCTGGGATGAATCAGAGCTTCCTACCCTCTTGGAGCATGTAGTCGCCTGTGGACACAACAGGCACACAACCAGGCCTAATGATCTTCCTAAAATACGACTTTGAGCATGTCACTCCTCTGCTTCAAGCCCTTTAGTGGCTCCCCACTGCCCTCAGAATAAAATCCAGGACTCTTTAAAATGTTTACCTCTCTAACTCATCTATCGCTGCACCTGCCAGCACCTCTGCATATGAGGTGCCATGGGCTGAATGTCCCTCAAAAGTACAAGTGTTAGAAATGACCCCCAATGTAACAGTGGTAAGAGAGTGGAAAGTCCAGTTACGGTAATCTAAAGGTAGGATCTTTAAGAGGTGATTGGATCCTGAGGACTGTCCTCATGAATGGATTAATCCATTGTTGGTTTAATGAGTGGCCCTGGGCGCAGCTCTGATGGCTTTATGACAAGAGCAAGTGGGAAGGTGAGCTGTCTCTTGCTTAGCTCATTCTCACCATGTGACATGCTGCATTGCTACCAAGGAAAAGGCCCTCACAGGTGTGTTCCCTGGACTTTAGACTTCCAGGCTCCAAAACTGTAAGAAATAAGTTTAATTTCTTTATAAATTACCCAGTTTCAGCTTCTGTTGTTAGAAGCAACGGAAATAGATGAATACACAAGAGTCCTTCAAAAAGTTCATGGAAAGATTTGTATTATCTTTTAATTTTATTTTTCCATGAGTTTTTCAAAGTACCCTAGTACACCCTCTGTTCTAGCTTTATAGCATCTCAGCTTCCTGACATGCTGAGCTTGCTGCCAACTGGGCTTTTCGCATGAGCCCTCCTGGACACCTTCACCTAACCCCAGTCACCTCCTGGGCCTCAGCCTGGGGATCACTTCTTCTAGGAAGCCTTCCTTGGCCACTACGTCTGAAGGCACCAAGGTTGTACAGTAGACACTCATTAAATGAACACATGAATGAACAAGGTGCCATTTTTATATACAGCATGTGTCCAGCGAACAACTGTCACGCTGAGGCATCTGACTATCCAGTGGCTAGAGTCGCACACATTCCAGAGACATTTTCATCTTTGAAGTCCTTTATTCCCAGCAGTTTACATGAGTTACTCACTGAGCTAGCACTTGTCATATTAACCAAGAATTCATTCATTTTTCCTTTGATATAGTAATCTTGTCCTCATGTCCAAAATTGAGTTCAGGCCCAAAGGGTTGAAGAGGTCTCATTCTACCACAGGAAGCAAGGGGTGCCCTTGTGAATTAGTCTTCAACTCCTAGAAGTCTTGTTAGATTGTTAGATTCATAGGCAAATAGCTAGTTTAGTATGAGACAACCCAATACGTAAATAAATAAGACACAGTGCAAAAGTTGTAGGGAGGGGGAAAGGCACATTACAGAGTTCGCTAGAGAGAGTACAGGCCATTCTCCGCCTTCCCAATATGCATTTGCCTACCCTTCAGTGACTTTTAATCTTATGCCTGGTCTATGAAAAACCATAACCCACATGCTACTGAATACACTTTTATATTCCCTTCAGGAGATATACTTGGTTCCAAGTATATTTCATTTTTCTCCCTTATACCTATAAGAACATCCAATTTTGTTCAGGTCCCTTCTAATGGCACTTAATAAATATACATTCTGGGACCTAACAGAACAGGCTGTCCTATTTCAAACTGCCTCTGAAGCTGCCTGTTTGAAATAGCTGGTACAAAGCTCAGATGGGGCACATCCTAGCTGACAGCTCACAGCCATCTCTGACCCCAGGTCTACCTGCCCACCACTGTGTGTCTAGGGTGGAAGTCCTCAACCCTAGCTACACAGTAGAGGCACCTGGGGAACTTTCTGAATTCTCGATGCCCAGGCCACACCCCAGACCAATTACATCAGACTCTGGGTGGGATCCTGGCTTCCATCATAGTTTAAATCTGCACAGGCAACCCCGGCGAGCAGCCACGTTGAGAGCCCCTGAGCTAGAGACCCAGCACACAATAGGCTCTCTGTAAATACATGTGGATTTCCTATCTTATTATCTGTTGTCCTAAGTTTCCTATTTTTACTCAGAGATCTGAGCAGGAAAGAGAAAGGAGAATGAGACGAGAGCATCTTGTAAAGTGAATTTGGTGCTGGGAAGGGGATGGTGGGACTGAGTTTCTCTTGCATTATGCAGTGTCTTCATGCTTCAGCATGCCCAGAGGAGGCGAGTTAAAGACTGTCTGATACAAACATATTTATATTTCTTAAAGCCCTTCAAAAACCAGAGCTAACAGTTTTAGGCACTAGAGTTAAAACACAGAGACGTTCTTGGAAATAAATCTAATCTGCCACCCGTTTTACATCTGTAACTTGAGTTGGTTCCAAACTTCTAAAGTTGTGTGAACGTCACACTCGATCACATTTTTCCCTTTCTGTGAATCTTCCGATTCATCTCGGCCCAAAGAAACTAGAGATGATGACCTGGCAGCGACTGCACCTGACATGGCCCCAGTGGGGCAGTCTTCCTTGCACAGGAACTGCTCTGGACAGCCTCCTAAAGTTGTGTGAACGTCACACTGGATCACATTTTTCCCTTTCTGTGAATCTTCCGATTCATCTCGGCCCAAAGAAACTAGAGATGATGACCTGGCAGCGACCGCACCTGACATGGCCCCAGTGGGGCAGTCTTCCTTGCACAGGAACTGCTCTGGACAGCCTCCACTTTCTGGAGTCTAGAAAGGGATGACTCACTACCTGGAATGTAGGATTGAGAAGGACCCTGAGATAGATCCCGGGTTTATGAGAAAGGAAGGATGCCATGTTGTTTACCTGCACCTGCTGCCATGGGCCTGGGAGTGTGGCATGGCGGTGACAGTGCTTCCTTTGCCAGCCTGAGCCAGCGACTCTGGGGCCATCCTGAGACCACGGGTCATACTGACGTTTGTATCACACTTCACAGTTTACAAAGAGCTTCCACATCCTCAGCCTCCTGTCATTCTTTCCACAGCCCTGTGAGGTCTTTTTGGACAGGAAAACTGAGGTTGTGTCCTATGTCTGAGGTTCCACAGCCAACTGACATCATGTCCACTGCTGCCTCCAGGACCTCAGAGGTAATCTGAAACAACTGGGGTTTTCCCTTGGCACCTCCTTCTGTCCAGAGAGAGGAAACCAAGCCATTAGTTAACCTTTCCCACCCACCAAGCCTTTAGTCGCCTACTTCACAGAGTTTCCTCCAGGATTTACATGCCCCTTTGTCCCCTAGTCCAGAGAAAACAGCAGCAGGTACAACCACTGCCAACAGCCACCCACACCCCACCTAACACACTGTCAAAACCCCCTCTTCCCTGGAACAGCCTCAGAATTTGTCTACACACATTCCAGAACTGTGATCCGGTCTCACTTACTCCCAGGCCCAGTCAAGAGTCTCCTGGGAACCTCTTCACTGCAACACAAACCCACAACTCCCCCACTTGAGAGGCCCAGTGGTTCACTGCCCGAGATAACTCAGCTCCCAGTGTGGAGAAATAAAAGATGACCGGTCAGCTATGGTGTCTTCTGATATCACATATAGGAAGTGAACTGTCAGGCCAGGCAGTTCTGGACTTCTTCAGCACCCTGTGCCTGGAACCACACAGCAACAGGTAACATTCACCTGGGTTGACCCACTCCCTCGGGCAGGCCCAAACAGCCATAAGCTATGGCAAGTCCTGGCCAATCAGCTGTGACCTGCTGTCCAGGGTATTCAGTTGGAATGACTTCTTTATGCAGACATAAAGCGCCCACCCATACCAGGAACTCTGCAAGGACCAGCCACGCCTCTGGCTACCTCCTGGGTGCCCCTCACACACCCTGTACTGATCTTCTCTGCCTTTTCTTTGCTTCTTTTTCCTCCAGGGTCACAGCCTCTCTAAGCCTCCCCCATCCCTTAGAGCCCACCCATACCAGGAACTCTGCAAGGACCAGCCACGCCTCTGGCTACCTCCTGGGTGCCCCTCACACACCCTGTACTGATCTTCTCTACCTTTTCTTTGCTTCTTTTTCCTCCAGGGTCACAGCCTCTCTAAGCCTCCCCCATCCCTTAGCAACATGAACCTCACGTAGGGCACCCTAAGAGGGCACACTCCAGCCCCATGGCGCTGGGCTTGGGGCCCTGGCCAGGAAGCTGGAAGGCACATATCCCCTCTGTCCGTTCACTTCCACCAGGCTCCATTCTGGGTTCCCCTTCTTGTCCTGGGCCTCCACAATGGTCACGGGCTGTCCGGCCTGCAGACTTACTTCATGGCTGCTTCTGGCCACAAAGGGGTATGCTGCTACCACCTGAAACACATGGGGAGCCACCCAAGAATGGTCAGGGCAGGAAGATAGACAAACCCAACCCAGAGAGGCTGTCTATGCTGTTCTCAAAGCTGCAGCAGTGGGCACCTCTGAGAGCAGCTCCATTCACAAAGGTTTGCGTGCCCACCCCAGCTCTAACACCCCATCCAGGCCTCACAACCACCCCACTGAGCTTCCTCCCCCCTCAAGGACTCCGACCTTGCAAAGCTAAATCCTTCCATGGCTTCTCATCACTTTCTTTTTTTTTTTTGAGACATAGTTCACCGACCATAACATTCACCCTTTCAAAATGTATAGTTCCATGTTTTTAGCATGTTCACTCATTGTTTTAACATGTGCAATCATCACCACCATCTAAACCAGAACATTATCATCACCCCAGAAAGAAACCCCATACCATTTTAACAGTCACTTCCCATTCGCCCGACCCTCAGCCTCTGCCAACCACTAATCTACTTTCTGTCTTTATGGATTTGCCTATTCTGGACTTTTCAAATAAATGCAATCAAACAATATGTGGCCTTTTGTGACTGGTTTCTTTCACTTAGCATTATGTGTTCAAGGCTCATCGTGCTACAACGTGTATCAGTACCCAATTCCTTTTTATGGCTGAATAACAGTCCACGGTACAGCTACACCACATTTTATGTATCTGTTCATGGTGATGGACATTTGGGTTGTTTCTACTTTTCGTTCTTAGTTATAACGCTGCCGTGGATATGCACGTACACGTTTCCCATTGCTTTTTAGAGACAGACTGACGCCTTCACCATGGCCACACAGTGCTGCTGGCCTGTCCCTGCTCACTTCTGCAGCAGCACCTCACTCTGCTCTGCTCCTCTCTCTTCCCCGGCCACCCCAACTCATCAGTTCCTCATACACCCCCCGCCTCTGCCGTCACTGGGTCCTCGCATGCGCTGTGCATGCTTTCCAGAGAGTTCTTCCCATCTCTTCCCCAGCATACCCGCTTTATCTAATTAATTCCTACTCAGCCTTCCTATCTGAGAAAAGGCATCATTCTTCTCAGAAAAACCTCTCTTGGGCCACTCTACGCCTAGGGCTCTGGCACTTATCATTGCTATTCATTTTACAGTTATTCATGCAATTATTTAATTAATCAGTTTTTTCCACACCCAGATTATAAGTTTGAGAAAGGCAAGGACCGTGATTTACTTTTGTTCTCATCACATCTATCACCTAGCACAGTGCCTGACAAATATTGAATGAAAAAATGAATGAATGAACCCCACCTACCCTGCTGATGGGGCACAAGGAGTCAGGTCTCTGTTGATGTGGAGGGGGCAGGAGGCCCCTTTTCAGCTCCCACTCCTGACCAGGACACCGGTGTGGCCACTGATCAGGGCCCAAGCCTCACTGGGGGTGGGGTGGGGGCCTCCAGATAGGAGGAACATAGACTTTGACAGAGGGGGAAAGCCTAAGCCCCAGTCCCGATGGCTGAGGGGAGGCAAGTCCCCAGCCCTCTCCCACACTCACCTGGGTCATGGTGGGGATGGGGGCAGGGGCTGGGGTGGGTGCCAGCGTTAGGTGCTGGGAGACGCTGTGCAGCCCAGCCTGCCCTCTGATTTTCTCCTCAGTGGGGACGACATGGTACAGCTGTAGCTTCCCGGCTGGCACATACCCTCGGTGTCCTACGGGACATGCAGAAGATTATCTGGCTGCGGCCTCCTTCCCATCCCTTTTGGTGGTGGAGAAAGCCAATGGGTGGGAATGTCTCCAACAGTTTCTCAGCACTCATGAGGACAAGAAAAGGCCATCTGGGACCACCCCGCCCTCACTCACTGTCTGTAGCTTCTGCTTGCACACCCCAGTGACAGGGGGCTCATTCCTCCCTGGGCAGCCCACTCTATTTGAACAGCTCTGATGGAGATAAAAAGTTCTTCCTTGGATTGGTGTGAAAACTGCTTTCCTGGTGCTGGCACCACTGGCCCCATGGCCTCTAGGGCCACCCAGAGCAAGGCTGCTTCCCCTCCAGGACTGCCTTCCCCAGGGGGCAGAGATTGCCTTCCTCGTCTCGAAGTGACCCCAGTTCCTTCTCGCTGAGCAGCTGCCCCAGTGCTGTTCTAGGAGCTATCATTAGGAATGGCTATCACCTTCCAAGGGCATGCTCGGTGCCAGAACTGGCATTTGATTATCTAGTTTTCACATCAACTCTTGAGGTCGGTTTCCATTTTATGTTGAGCCAGCCAAGCTCACAGAGGCTCTGTAACTTCCCTGAGATCACATAGTGAAGTGGCAGATTTGGGATCCAAATCCAATCCTCCTGGCCCCAGAAGCCTCACTTCAGTATCCATTCCATTGTTTCCCAGCTGAAGTCAGGAGTGTGCTCTTTTGTGATTGCTGTCTAATTTGTACTACTTTCTTTCTTTCTTTTTTTTTTTAAAGATGACCGGTAAAGGGATCTCAACCCTTGACTTGGTGTTGTCAGCCCCCCCCCACCCCACGCTCTCCCAAGTGAGCCACGGGCTGGCCTTTGTACTACTTTCTTAATTATTTTAATTGACTCACTTTTTAAAACTTGGTCTCATACTATAACAATAATATGAATAAAAATCATGGGCTGATAGACTAATTATATTTTTAATACACATTAAAACATTTAAATAACAATTATAATAAGCTGTCTGCAGGGGGGACAAACTGTCTGTGGGTCCCCTAACAATAATCCTGTGCACCCCTCATCTTCTGGGTCACACACCCCTCTTTGGAAGACTCTCCGCTGGGCCATCTGATCCCAGGTTCACGGTGCCATTTGCTCCAGCTCAATTGCACTGGGGCACCCAGGCCTGAGCTCCAAGGCCATGACCAGTGCAGAGGGGGCAGGGTAACCACGTCCCTCATTCTGGACATGAGATCTTCATAATTGTGGCCAGCATCCAAGCACCCCTTCTTTGTGCACATCACCGTCTTTCAGGGTGGTGCGGAAGTTCTCAGCATATATCTCTGTCTACCCTAATAGTCTGTGAGGTGCCCAAGGAAGGGCCTTATCTTACTTGTACACATCGAGCTTGATGATGGACATCGCAATGAAAGACTGAGTTCCTCTTTTTGGCATTTCGTGCACCACTGAGTCTCGGTAGGCTGGCTGTGTCACAAGCCCTGCATTTGTCACCTGTACTCATTCCCACGCTGGATTTGCACAGCCCAACTTTGGCCCACAGGAGTGCCCATGTCACCCCACTGGCATTGTTGGGTGGTTTTCCCAGAAGAAAAGGAAGGGCCCACAGGGACCCACGTACCCCCAGTGTCCACCAGCCAGCGGCTGCTGTTGCCCTTGGTGTCCTTGTTGTGAAGGAGGGCCACTATTTGGCCCCGCGGCAGTGTCAGGTCCAGAGTCCCAGTCCCGCTGACGTTACTCGTCACCTGGTACAGCTTCCCGGGGCCATACCTGCTCAGGAGAGACTGCACCTGGCGTTCAGACCCTGGAAGGAGTGGCTGGGAGAGGAGGGACACAGAGAGACACATGTGCTTAACATGTCAAAGCCACTGTTTGCCCACATACTGAGAGCCGGATCCCACCTTGCAACTACAGGGTCTATCCCGATTGGGGCAACAGTGCCCTCACTAGTAGATGGTTGGCTCTTAATATCCAAGGGCACTAATTTCTGGGATTCTCTAAAATTTTAACTCAAGTTCTGAAATTTCTCAGTCATAGACCTCCTAGGATTGGGCCCTAAATTCTTTTAATAACATAAAGCTAAGTTATCCCATGGGGACAATGCCTCGTGCAGGTCTCTCAACGCATCAGACCATGAGCTTCATGTGGGCCCCAGGCTTTATCCATCTGTCATCTTAAACAGCCAGCACAGGCTGGTGCGTGGCAGACCATCAACGTGTGGGAAAGAGGGAAGGCTACCTCTGAGTCCGCGAGTTCTCAGAGCACAAGTATTTACTGAGCACCTGCCATTGACAAGGCACTGCAGTAAGCTTTGTGAATGGCCTAGTAGAAACAGGAGAGGGTTTGCCCAGATGGAAATTGCCTTCTAGCTGCGGAGAGAGATTTGGTGGCACTTTCAGCTCATTTAAAATTCTCCTGGCATTCACTCTATTTTTCCATTCACTGCTTCCAACAAAAGTACCAATAAGAAGGGACTAAAGGGTGATTCAAGGGTGATTGTCTCCTTTTTGTAAAACCAATAAGAAAGTAAATATGTTAAGTGTAGACTATATTCTCCCCCTCAATCTCTCTCTCTCTGTATATATGTACGTATATGTCCACCATGTTCTATGGTTATTTCCGGAGGCAGGTGGTGAGGTGGGCAGAAGTGCTCTTCAGGGACATTTGGGCACAAATTCTGTCATATCCCAGCCCCAAGGGGGATGCCAAGTCAGGATTAAGATGCAGGAGAGGCCAATGTTTCTAAACAGGTCCTTAAACAGAAGCGTAGAGACAGGGTAGCTTTTGGGGGGAACAGTGGTGTTGGGGTAGGGCCGGCCCGGTGGCGCACTGCTACAGTGCGCCGCTTGGGAGTGCGGCGGCGCTCCCGCCGAGGGTTCGGATCCCACATACAGACCGGTTCCCGCTCACTGGCTGAGCGAGGGGCGGGTGCAGCACCGAGGGTTGCGATCCCGTTGCCGGTCCCGGTACGGTACGGGCGGGACACTGAGGGTTGCGGTCCGTTGCTGGACACGAAAAAAGAGACAAAAAGGAAAAAAAAAAATAGTGGTGTTGGGGTAATTTTTTCCAGAATGGTGGCACTAAAGCAAGTATAAAAGCCAGCGGTGTGGCAAGCCCTCGCCTTCTTTCTCAAGTCTGACCGGCCCCTAGAAGGTGCCCGGGGAGGGCAAGTAAACACATCACTGGAATTGCTCCACTCCTGGGGGCCACCTCACTTTCGCTGGGTTCTGTACCCTTAGCCAAATAGGTTAGGAATTTATAGGTTCATGTGTGTGTGACAGGGGTGGGAGGGTGGAAAGGGGTGCGTCTTCCAACCAGTTTGCAACATACCCTGGGATTATGGATGTTTCTGCTTGGTTTTGTTTTGTTTTGTTTTGTTTTTCTGTCTTCTAATTTTTCTACAATAAGTATGGATTGCTTTCCCAATTAAAAAAAATGTTATCTTACTGTATTTTAAGTAGAGAGAGAGAGAGACACACACATTTGAGTGGCTATTCTGTCCTTTATTTTCTGCACCCTTCCTCTTTCCCCAAATCACAGGGCCTGTGGCACATCCCAGTGAGACCTCTGCTGAGGTACAGCTCTCAGTGTGGGGTAGGAAGTGGGAACAATGTGGCCCAAGGAGGAGTCAGCCTCTCCCTTGTGGCAGACATGAGTCCCTGAAGGTCTTTGACATTCTACTCTGGCTGGGTATGAAGGCCAGCTTTATCTACCCAGCTCTGCTGAGCTCCTTTACCTGTTCTTCTGTGTCTGTGGGTCCCCTTCACCCTCCTGGGGAATCCTGGAGTTGTCTCCTGGCCCTTCACTACATATCTCACATGTGAACAAACACAGAGTTTCATTTTTCTCAAATCTAGGTTCTGTCACAGTCTGGGAACCTCTTCTCCCTACAGCTGCTTCAGTTACTTTTAAAACATAGACCACCTGGGTACACTCTTCAAGTGACTGGAAAATACCCTTTCCTTATATTTTAGAAGAAAATATTTAAAAAAATAAAAAAAGCATTTGGTCAGCCAAAGCTTTGTAAATCTTCACACAGCTAAAATAATGATCTTTGCAATTAAAAAATACCATAGCCAGAAGAAAGTTTAAATGACTTCTTATTCAAACTTTTTATTCATCTCGAATCTTGTATTGAAGCTGAGATTAGAAAGTGGTGAGGGAACAGGATACATCTTGATGAAAAATTTGAGGAAGTTCGGGTTTTTGAATATTAATGTCACTTGTCCATTCTTATGTCTCATTTCACTTGATATTAAAATGTTTGGATTTTTCTATTCTTGACCCAAGAGTTCTGTGCTGCTGTTAAGCTTACTGGTCATGAAGAGCATGCATGTATGTGGGTGTGTACCGCTCCCACCCCCACTCCCGGCCCACAGAGAGAAAGGAGAGAGGGGGACAGGAAATGTTTAGGGGTAACAGGAAACACTGGGAAAAGACAAAGGAAAGGAAAGAGGGGACTGAGCCTCACCCCGCTGGCAGGTGAAGAACTGGACAGTCTTCGGGGGGAGGAAGGGACACTTACTTGTGTGGTGGGAGGTGGCAGCACTTTCTCGAAGTTCTCTCGAAAGGAGCGAAGCTGGTTACTGCTCTGGCTTAGCGTGTCCTCCACCAGCTTCCTGAAGGCCGGCTCAGAGATGTGGCGGTGGGGCAGCTGGGTGGGACAGACACCATCAATAGAGCCTTCTCTGGGAGAGAGGGAGACCTGGCTGCCCACGCTCTAGCCCAGGTATGTTAAGATGGTCCTTTTTGTCATAGTCACCTGTTGCTTCTGTCTTTCCACTATCCTTTAACAAAGAGTCCCTCCATGGGGTCCCACAGTATTGACCATCATGATGCTCTAGTCACAGGGCTGGCAATCCTGGCATGCCTGTCTCCTATCCATAGTGACTGCTCCAAGGGATGGACTGTGGACCCCAGCAAGGCCAAGTGGAATCCTCCCTTCAGATTTATTTATTTATTTTTAATTAATGTATTTATTTTTGTAGGGTACAATGTGTTGTATCAATCAATTCATACACTGCACAGTGATTAACTTAGGGTGGATAGCATAGCTTTGTACCCATTAGCTCATCTTTTCTCCCCCTGCTACCCTCCTCCCCTCCCAATCTCTGGTAAAAGTTACTCTACTCTCTCTCTCTCTATCAGAACCACTTTTATTTATTTTTTTTATGATTCCACATGGGAGTGAGATCATGCAGTATTTTCTTTCTGTGCCTGACTTACTTAACTTAACATGATGGTTTCCAGTTCCATCCATTTTGCTGCAAACAATAGGATATCACTTCTTTTTACAGCTGAATACTATTTCATTGTGTATGTATACCACAGTTTTTTTATTCGTTTATCTGTTGATGGGCACTTGGGTTGATTTCATCCCTTGGCTATGTGTGAATAGTGTTGCGATGAACACGGGAGTGCAGGTGTCTTTTTGATATATTGATTTCATTTCCTTCGGTAGTGGGATAGCTGGGTCATAAGGTAGATCTATTTTTACTTCTCTGAGGAACCTCCATATGTTTTCCACAGTGGCTGCACCAATTTACATTCCCACCAATAATGCAGGAGAGTTCCTTTTTCTCCACATCCTTGCCAGCATTTATTTTCTGTCTTGTCGATAATAGCCATTCTAACTGGGTTGACATGATATCTCATTGTGGTTTTAATTTGCATTTCCCTGGTGATTAATGATGTTGAGCATTTTTTCATGTGTCTGTTGGCCATTTGTATGTCTTCTCTTGAGAAAAGTCTATTCAGGTCCTTTGACCATTTTTTAATTGGGTTATTTGGTTTTTTGCTGTCATTTGAGTTCCTTATATATTAGCCCCTTGTCTGATGTGTAGTTTGCAAACACTTTCTCCCATTCTGTATGTTGTCTTTTCACTTCGTTGATAGTTACCCTGGTGTGCGGAGCTTTTTAGTTTCATGTAGTCCGACTTGTGTATTTTTGCTTTTATTGCTTGTACCTTTGTAGTCTCGTTCACGAAAGAGTGCTTTCATACACCATTTCTCCTACGTTTCCTGCCAGTAGTTTCATAGTTTCAGATCTTAAATTTAAGTCTTTGATCCATTTTGAGTTGACTTTTGTGTATGGTGAGAGATGGGGGTTTACTTTCAATCTTCTGCATGTGGATATCCAGTTTTCCCAGCACTATTTACTAAAGAAGCTGTCCTTTCCCCACTGTATATTCTTGGCACGTTTGTCAAAAATCGATTGCCTATAAGTGCGTGGTTTTGTTTCTCGGTTCTCTATTCTTTTTGGTGGTTGGCTGGTATGGGGATCTGAACCTGTGAGTTTGGTGTTATAAGGCCGCACTCTAACCAAGTGTGGGCTCTCTATTCTATCCCATTGGTCTATTTGTCTGTTTTTATGCCAGTACCATGCAGTTTTGGTTACTATAGCCTTATAGTATATTTTGAAGTCAGGAAGTTTGATCCCTCCAACTTTGTTCTTTTGTTTAAGATTGCTTTAGTTATATGGGGTCTTTTGTATTTCCATACAAATTTTAAGATCATTTTTTCCATTCCTGTGAAGAATATCATTGGTATTTTGATAAGGATTGTGTTGAATGTGTAGATTGCTTTGGGTAATATGGATATTTTGATGATGTTAATTCTTTCAACCCATGAACATGGGGTATCTTTCTATTTATTTGTGTCCTCTTCAATGTTTTTTCACCAATGCTTTATAGTTTTCATTGTAGAGGCCTTTTACCACCTCCTTGGTTAAATTTATTCCTAGTACTTCATTTTTTTTTTGGTATCTATAGTGAATGGGATTACTTTCTTAATTTCTTCTTCAGCTTTTTCATTATTGGTGTATAGGAAGGCTATTTATTTTTGTGTGTTGACTTTGTATCCTGCCACTTTGCTGAATTCATTTATTAGTTCTAGTTATTTTTTGGTTGAGTCTTTAGGGTTTTCTATATATATATGATAATATCATGTGCAAATAGGGATATTTTGACTTCCTCTTTTCCAATCTGGATGTCCTTTATTGCTTTCTCTTGCCTTATTGTGATGGTTAGAGCTTCCAGTACAACTTTGAATAAGAGTGGGGAAAGAGGGCATCTTTGTCTTGTTCCAGATCTTAAAGGAAAAGCCTCCAATTTTTGTCCATTCAGTGTGATATTAGCCATGAGTTTGTCATATATTTTATTGAGTACATTCCTTCTATACTTAGTTTGTTGAGTGTTTTTTTCATGAAGGGGTGTTGGATTTTATGAAATGCTTTTCCTGCATCTATTGAAATGACCATATGTTTTTTTCCCCTTCATTCTGTTGATGTGATGCATCATGTACAGATTTGCATATGTTGAACCATACTTGCATCCCTGGGATGAATCCCACTTGATCATGGTATATGATCTTTTTAATGTGTTGCTGGATTCTGTTTGCTAGTATTTTGTTGAGGATCTTCACATCTATGTTCATTAGGGATAGTGGTCTGTAGTTTCCCTTTTTGTTGTGTCTTTTTCCAGTTTGGGTATGAGGGTAATGCTAGCTTCATAGAACGAGTTTGGAAGAATTTCTTCCTCTTCAATTTTTTGGAAGAGTTTGAGAAGAATTGACATTAGTTCTTTAGATGTTGGGTAGAATTCAGCAGTGAAGCCATCTGGTCCTGGGGTTTTCTTTGTTGAAAGACTTTTTATTACTGCTTCAATCTCATTACTTGTTATTGGTCTGTTTAGGTTTTCTAGTTCTTCATGATTCAACTTTGGTAAGTTGTATGTGTTCAAGAATTTATCCATTTCTTCTAGGTTTTCCAGTTGTTTGCATAGAGTTGTTTGTAGTAGTCTCTTATGATCCTTTGTATTTCTGTGGTATCAGTTGTAATGTTCCTTTTTTCATTTCTGATTTTATTTGAGTCTTCTCTTTTTTTCTTTGTTAGTCTAGCTAAAGGTTTATCAATTTTGTTTATCCTTTCAAAAAACCAACACTTCGTTTCATTGATATTTTGTATTATTTTTAAAATTTCTATTTCGTTTATTTCTGCTCTGATTTTTGTTATTTCTCTCCTTCTACTGATTTTGGGTTTGGTTTGTTCTTGTTTTTCTTGCTCCTTGAGAAGTAATGTTAGGTTGCTTATTTGAAGTATTTCCTCTTTTTTTGATGTAGGCACTTATCACTATAAACTTCCCTCTTAGACCTGCCTTTGCTGTATCACATAGGTTCTGGTGTGTTGTGTTTCTATTTTCATTTGTCCCCGGGAATGTTTTAATTTCCTTATCAATTTCTTCTTTGGCCCATTCATTGTTTAGGAGCATGTTGTTTAATTTCCATGTATTTGTATGGACTCCATAGTGTCCCTTTTGTTGTTCATTTCTAGTTTTATTCCATTGTTTGGACAAGGTAGTTAATATCATTTCAATTTAAAAAATTTTTTTGAGTCTTTTTTTGTGACCTAATATATGGTCTAATCTAGAGAATGTTCCATGTGCTGTTGAGAAGAATGTGTGTTCTGCAGTTGTTGAATGAAATGTTCTATATATGTCCATTAGGCACAATTGATTAATTGTAGAGATTAATTCTGATGTTTCCTGGTGAATATTCTGTCTGGATGATCTGTCTTTTGCCAAAAGTGGGGTGTTAAAATCTCCAACTATTACTGTGTTTGAGTCTATTTGTCCCAATAGTAATTGCTCTATATAACTATATAAATATATATAACTATATATTGCTGTATATAATGGTGCCCCAGAGTTGGGTGCATATATATTTAGAATTGTTATGTCCTCTTTTTGATCACTGTATCATTATATAATGACCTCCTTATCTTTTTTTTACTTTCCCTACTTGAAGTTTATTTTATCTGATATAATTACAGCTTCTCCTGCTTTTTTGGTTTCTATTTGCATGAAATATCTTTTTCCATCCCTTCACTTTCAGTCAGTATGTGTCTTTATAGATGGAGTGAGTTTATTATAGGCAGCATATTGTTGGTTCTTGTTTTATAATCCAT